AACCCCTGCAGTGAGGCTGTAATGGGCACACCAGTGCACACTCCCCCTGCAGAGCTGCAGGGGTTCCGTGTGTGGGTGTGCGTGTGTGAGTGTGTATGTGTGTGTGTCACTGTGTGTGTGTGTGTGTCACTGTGTGTGTGTGTGTCACTGTGTGTGTGTGTGTCACTGTGTGCATGTGTGTGTGTGTACAAGCATCTACACCCCCCCTCACACGGCACTGTCACGCCGTGTGTGTGCTCACACATCTGTGAGTGTGTGAATGCACAGGCACGGCCTCACTGCAGGGTGGCTGTGTCAGAATGTGTGTGTGTGTGTGTGAGAGACAGGGTGTGTGTGTGAGAGGGGTGTGTGTGTGTGTGTGTGTCAGTGTGTGTGCACATGTACAGCCCAGTTGCATGGTGTGTGTGTCACTGTGTGTGTGTGTCAGTGTGTGTGTGCACATGTACAGCCCTGTTGCAGGGGGGGTGTGTATGTCACTGTGTGTGTGTTTGCTTGTGTCACTGTGTGTGTGTCAGTGTGTGTGTGTTTGTGTGTGCACATGTACAGCGTCACAGCAGGATGAGTTTGTACGCACAGCCCTGCTGCAGAGAGGGGTGTCTGTCTGTGTGTGTGTGTCTATCTGTGTGTGTGTGTCTATCTGTGTGTGTGTGTCTGTCTGTGTGCCTGTCTGTGTGTCTGTATGTGTGTGTGTGTCTGTCTGTGTGTGCATGTGTGTCTATGTGTGTCTGTGTGTCTGTGTCTGTGTGTCTGTGTCTGTGTGTCTGTGTCTGTGTGTCTGTGTGCACAAGTACAGCATCTCTGCAGCGTGGTTGTGTGTGTGTGTGTGTGTGTGTTCACAAGCACATCCGTGCAAGGTGTTGGGGGTTGTGCACATACAGTTACAGCAGCACTGCAAGGGGGTGTGGGGCACGTCCGTGCACAAGCACAGCACTGGTTGTGAGTGCACCCGTGAGTGTGTGTGTGTGTGAACACACACAAGCACAGAGCTGGTTGTGAGTGCACCCGTGTGTGTGTGTGTTTGTGTGAACAGGCACAAGCACAGCACTGCCAGGAGTGTGTCTGTGCGCACACCAGCACAGCAGCACTGCAAGGGGGTGTGTCTGGTGCATGTCTGTGCACGAGCACACTCCTGCAAGGTGTCTGTGTGTGTGTGTGTGTGTATGTGTGTGTGTGTGCACACCCCTGCAAGGTGTCTGTGTGTTTGCACACACAACCACGTCGCTGCAATGTTTTCGTGTGCACACACACAGGTACAGCATCACTGTGAGGTGGTTCTGCTTTGCACCCGTGTGTGTGCACGCACAGGAACAGTGTTAGTGCAAGGGCTGTGTGTGTGTGTGGGTGTGTGCACAAGTACACCCTTGCAAGGGGTTGGGATGTGTGTGCACAAGTGTGACATCGTTACCAGGGGTGGGTGTGTGTGCACAAGTACACCCTTGCAAGGGGTGTGTGAGTGTGTTTGCACATGCAGGCACACCCCTGCAAGGCGCTGGTGTGTGCACACACACAGGTACAGCATCACCACAGGGGCTGTGTCCGTGTGTCCGTCTGTGCACGCACAGGTCCGGTGTCACCCCCAGTTGTGCCCCAGCCCCGCTGCAGTGCAGTCTGTGTGTTCACACTGTGCCGTCTGTGTGTTCACACTCTGCTGTCTGCGTGTGTTCACACTGTGCGCTCACACTCCGTGTGTGTGTGTGCTCACACTGCTGTCTGTGTGTGTGTTCACGCTCTGCTGTCTGTGTGTGTTCACACTCTGTGTGTTCACACTCTGTGTTCACACTCTGCTGTCTGTGTGTGTGCTCACACTACTGTCTCTGTGTGTTCACACTGTGTGTCACACTGCTGTCTGTGTGTCACACTGCTGTCTGTGTGTGTTCACACTGTGCTGTCTGTGTGTGTTCACGCTGTGTGTGTTCACACTCTGTGTGCTCACACTGCTGTCTGTGTGTGCTCACACTCTGCTGTCTGTGCCCCAGGATGCCGTGGTGGCTCACCCAGCCCCGTGTGACACCCACGGGTGCTGCTGTCCCCAGGGTGTCCCTGTGGGGTGTCCCCCCAACGCCCACCCCGCGGTGCCACGCAAGCCCCAAGGTGACCCAGGAGGTGCCAGACGTGCTGCCACCTGCTGCCACCTGCCCCTCTCCCCCACAGCCTGGGGGACATCGGGGACACCCAGACACCCCTGGCGGCTTCCCGCTGGGGCAGGAGGGGCAGGGGCTGCCGGCTCAGTGGGGAGGGTCGGGGTGCCCCAGCTGGGGCCACGGTTTGGCCACTGCTGGGACATGTCCTTGCCTGTCCCCCAACACCCCGAACCGCCTGACAAGGAGCCTCCTTTGAGCTCTTTGGGATGAGCATCCTGGAAGGATGAATTTGGGGGGTGCCTGGAGCAGAGCGGGGCTGCCCAGGAGCATCCCCTGCCTGGGCAGGGACACCAACCACGGAGGGGATGAGCCATCACAGACAGGCCAAAAAACCCCTAAAACTCCCCCCAGACCCCTCAGAAGATGTCACTGATGTGCCACCATCCGGGCAGGGACGTCCCCAAGTGCTGGGGGTTGGTAATGTGACACGATGTGGGGTTTTCTTCCCAAAACCAAAGTTCTCAGCCCATTTCTCCTGCCGGGATCCTTCTACATAAATCCCTCTGGCACAGAGAAGGAACAGACACCAACATCCCGACCCAGCTTCCTGCTGTTCCCAGTACAAATTCCCTGGTCCTTCTTTTCCGTAAGCTTTGTTCCAGCTCCACATATCCCCCAAAAGAGAGCAAAGCCCAGAGAACAGCAGGAGGTGGGATGGAGCCCATGGGAACGCCTTGTGCCTCAGTGTCCCCACTGCCCTCTGAGCCTGGCACAGCAGGGATCCTCCTCCACATCCCGAGGGTTCGTTTGGAGGCAGAACCCCCCAAATCCTCCCAATTTCTCCCCACTTCTATCCCGTCCTCCTCTGCACGGGAAAAAGCTGAACACTGCGGCAATTCTGGCAAGATTTGGGATTTTTTTTGGGTGTGAAGTGCAGCACAGCTCCGGCATCAAGCCCTGGATGCCAGGATGGGGGCAAAGTCCCACCCTGAGACTGTGGGGAGGGGCACAATTCCAGCCCATAATCCCAAAATGGGGTCACAGTCCCACTCCGTGATCCTGGAACCCCCCAGGAGGTGCTGGCACACCCGGACCCCGGATCCTCAGAGATGCTCCCAGCTGGATGCTGCAGCACTGTGGGGGTCCCCCCACCCGCAGCCCCCACCCGGTGCCACCCCGAGCTCAGACACATCCAGGGAATGTGTTTTCGGGGCGGAATGCTGGATTTTTGGCTGCGGAAGGCCTGGCAGTGACAAGGGCAGGGTGGGAGACGTGAGTGGGTGACCGGAGCTGGAGCAAAGATCCGGGGTCTGTGGGGTCTCCCTGGGGGGGTCAGACCCTTCTGGGGTGTTGTGGGGGCATGTGCTGCCCTGTCCCCTGTGTGGGGACACCCAGGATGGCTGGAGGGGTGGGTGGGATGCCCGGGGGGATCTGTGGGTGCTGAGAGGGTGCAGCTGGACTCATCCCCACTCCCCCCGCAGAGATCCGGGAAGCCTTCAAGGTGTTCGACCGGGATGGCAACGGGTTCATCTCCAAGCAGGAGCTGGGCACGGCCATGCGCTCCCTGGGCTACATGCCCAACGAGGTGGAGCTGGAGGTCATCATCCAGCGCCTCGACATGGACGGTAGGACCGGGGTGGGCACAGGGTGGGCACAGGGACGGGACCCCCAGCCCCCACTCCGGTTCTCCCCATTCCCACCCCAGCACTGGGTGCTGCTGGACCCTACACGGGATGTGGGACAAGCCTGATCCAGGTGTGATCCTCATTCTGGAGCCTCCTGCTCATCCATCATCACCATCCTCACCAGGCAGCTTCGTCTGGGAGGATTTAACAATCCCGGGGTGCTTGTGGGGTCACTGAGCCTGCTGGGATCGTGGTGCCGAGGCTGGATCCTGCACCCTGGGATGGATCCTGCACCCGGGGCTGTGTCCTCAGCACTGGCCGTGCCCCTCGAGCCCTCGCTGCCACCATCACCCTGTCCCTGCCTGTGTCCCTCCCATCAGGACCTCAAAGAGCTCCTTAATTTATTGGTTTTCCTTTTCCCCCCGTTTAAAAGCCTTTCTGGCAGCGCTGCCAAGGCTCTGTTCCCCTCGTTACTCATTGTTAGTGCTGCCCTTGGAGCCCCACACCAGAGTCCCCACGGCCACAGGACATGGTCAGCATGTCCCCCCTGGGGACACGGCCACCATTGGGGGCACAGCTGGAATTGGGGTCCCAGCTGGTGTTTGCAGTCCTGGACCGTGTTGATTTTCCCCATCCAGTACTGGGGGGCTCCAGTTGACCTTGGGTGTCCCCAGGTCACATTGCAGAGGACCCAGATGGCACCGGGGGTCCCCAGATGTTTTTGGGGGTCCCCACCCAGCACTGGGGACTCCAGCCAGTGTTGGCAGTCCCAGCTGGTATCAGGGACCACAAACTTTGCTGGAGGTCCCCACCCAGTGTTGGGGTCCCTGGTTGGTTTTGGGGGTCCCCAGACAGCAGTGACAGTCCTCAGCTGGCACTGGGAGGCCTCCAGATGGCCTTGGGGTCCCACCTGGAATTGGGGTCCGGGATGATGTTGGGCTTCCCCAGCCAGCTCTGGGAGGGGGGCAGTCGACATTTGGGGTCCCCAGCTCACATTGGGGGGGCCCAGTGTGAGTCCCAGCCACACTGGGGATCCTCAGTTGGGGACCAACTTTACTGGAGGTTCCCAGCTGGTCTCGGGAGTCCCTGCCGTGGGGTCCTGGCAGGTATTGGGGGTCCCCAGCCAGTTTGGGGGGCCCGGCTGGTGAAGTCCAAGGTTCCTTAACACCAACTGCTGCTCCAGGTGGACATCTGTGACCCCTGGGTGGGATGGGGGGATCTGGGTTCTGCCTGAGCCCCCCCAAGGATCAGGGTCCCCCCAGGCTGCCCCAGGGAGGGTCCCCCCAGGCAGCGCCAAGCCCTGGCATGGGGTCTTCCCAAAAAACACCATGGCTTGGAGCAGGACCCCCCCGGGGTGGGGAGGGGACATCTGAGCACCCCCGAGCCCAGGCAGGGTGTCCCCCCCCTGCAACCCCTCTGGGGGGTGTCACACGTGCCCCTGTGTCCCACAGGTGATGGGCAGGTGGACTTTGAGGAGTTTGTGACGTTACTGGGGCCCAAACTGTCCACCTCGGGCATCCCGGAGAAGTTCCACGGCACCGACTTCGACACCGTGTTCTGGAAGGTACAGACACCCCCCACCCCCGGGGGCAGCGCCCCAGAACCCCCACCCAGAGCTCCGGGGAGCTCCGGGAAAGGGGCAGGGCTGGGGCTGGGGTCGGGCTCAAGGTGGGCTTGGGGTTGGGGTCAGGGTTAGGATGAGGGTCAAGGTTGGAATTAGGGTGAGGGTGAAGGTCAGGATCAGGCTCTGGGTCAGAGTCAAGTTTAATGTTGGTTTAAGAGCCAGGATTAGGGTTAGAGTTAGGTTTAGAGTCAAGCTCAGGCTCCAGCTTAGGTTTAAGTGTCAGGGTCAGCACTGGTTTAAGGGGTCAGGGTTAGGGTTGGGTCAGATTTGGGGTCAGGGTCAGGTTTAGGATGAGGGTTAGGGTTGGAGACAGGGTTAGGATCAGATTTAGGGTCAGAGCCAGGGTTAGGATCAGGGTTAAGGTCAGGTTTAGAGTTGGAGTCAGGATTAGGGACAGGTTTAAGATGGATATCATGGTCAGAGTCAGGCTTAGGGTTGGGGTTAGGCTGAGGGTCACGCTCAGGCTCAGACTCCAGTTTAGGGTTAGTGTAATCATTAGGATCAGGATCAGGGTCAGGGTCAGGATCAGGATCAGGGTCAGGATCAGGGTCAGGGTCAGGGTGCACCAGCCTGAGCTCTCCTGCCCCACCCCCCCATGGGCTGGTGTTTGGTGCCAACACCCACCGGGGGGTCACCAGGACACCAGACCGGGGGGATCCACCCAAAGTGCCACACCCCAGGGTGGCGGGGGAGACCCCAAAGTGCCACACCCCAGGGTGGCGGGGGAGGCCCTGGAGCCGCCCCCCCGCCGCGGGGTGACCCCATCCCCCGCAGTGTGACATGCAGAAGCTGACGGTGGATGAGCTGAAGCGGCTGCTGTACGAGACCTTCTGCGAGCACCTGTCCATGAAGGACATCGAGAACATCATCATGACAGAGGAGGAGAGTCACATGGGCACGGCCGAGGAGTGCCCCGTGGACGTGGAGAGTGAGTGCCCGGCCGGGGATGCCGAACGCCCCGGGCACCGACGGCGCGGGGCGGCACCGCTGCGGTTTGGGGAGGGTGTTTTTGGGAGTAACCCCCTGTTTTTCTCCCCCCCTCCAGCCTGCTCCAGCCAGCAGATCCGCCAGACCTGCGTGCGGAAGAGCCTCATCTGCGCCTTCGCCATCGCCTTCATCATCAGCGTGATGCTCATCGCCGCCAACCAGGTGCTGCGCAGCGGCATGAAATAGTGGGGTCACCCCGCGGCCCCGCGGCGAGCAGGAGAGAGCTATAAATATATATAAATATATATCTGTACATCCATCCGTGGCCCAGAGACGTGCCCCCCCCCCCCCCCGGGAGGGGGGCGGCGAGGGGCCGGGGGTGTCCCCGCCGTGCCGGGGCGGTGCCATCGCATGGAGACTTCGGTAACGACACCGCCGCCCCCCGAGCCCCCCTCGCCGGGCAAAAACCAACCCGTAAGTGCATGGAACGTGCATGGAGCCCCGTGTGCCCCCTCCCCGCGCCGGGGCCCGCGGCCCCCCCCCCCGCGGCGGATCCCGCCGGATACTCCGATCCAACGTTATAGCTCGTATTTATGATAAACCAAATCATCCCCTAAGCAATACACGCGCCTGAGATGGTTCCTAGAGCCGGGAGCGTTTGCATGGACTTGGCTGCCAAGGGCTGGATTTTACCCCCCCCCTCAAAGCCCACCCCTGTCCCCCCTCCCTGTGCCGTGCCTCGATTTCCCCACCTGCCCAGTGCGGGGACATTCCTGACCTCCTGCTTGATGCACTTTGAGCCGACCCCCCTTGGGAAGAGCCGGAGCGACCCCAGGCCGGGGAGCCCCGAGCCCCCCGAGCCCCCCCAGCCTGTATGTAGCACCCACCTGGGCACTGGACTGGTTCAGATTTGGGGCCGTTTCTCATTCTTTGGGGGGGGTTTGGGTTTTGGGGTGGGTTGGTTTTTCTTTTGTTCTTCCTGGTTGGTTGTTTCCGATCTGAAATAAAAGTGGGATTTCTGAAGCGCTCTGGGCTCTGGGAGCTCCTGGAGACACGGGGGGGGGAGGGATGGGGCAGGAGGGGGGTGGAAGCCATGGGAGCACCCAGGGGTGCTGCTGAGGGGGGATGAGTCCTTCTGGGAAGGGAGTGGGCGGTGGGTGAGGGATCCATGGCCTCCTGGCATCCCAAAGGGGCTGGAGCATCCCCAAACCTGGGGGCAGCCAGGACCTGGCTCCTTCCTGACAGCTCCATGTCCCCCATCCCACTCCAGCCGTGGATCCTGCTGGGGGTCCTGCCCTTTCCCAGAGGATCTGGGTGGTTTTAATCCTGATATTTCATGTTGGGTTTGATGGATGTTTCGAGCCCGTTTGCATTGACAAGGAGGACAAGCTGAAGCCCCTTCTCAAAAATGCTTTCACCCAACTTCACAGTAATTCCAGGGGAACCAGGAGCTGGCTGGGGGGCTCAGAGAGGCCCTGTGGGACCACCATCCCTGGGCTGGGCTGGGGATCCTGCCCCAAGGCTGGCATGGAGGGAACACCCCGTTACTCCTCATTTCCACCACGGAGGGGCCTGGCCCTGATGTGACCCCCCCACGCTGAAGGACATCGAGAACCACCACGGCCTCACACCTCCCTGTGCTGGGGGGGCCCATTCCCACCTAATGGATCCCCCTCTTTGCATTTTTAATGGCAAAGAGATTAAAGGAATAAATAAAACCAGAGGAAGCGCTCGGGGCTGGGGGAGAATCGGGCAAAGCTGCTGCCCCTCCCCACGGGCAGTGCCAGGGGGTTCCTCCCATGGGAACAGGGCTGGAGGAGCCCATCCCAGACCATCCCCACCTTCACATCTCTGGGACTCTGCTTGATCCCATGGGGAAAACCCATTTCCTTGCCCTGGCACAGGACTTCCCACCCTGCAGCACTGTGGGGGGACACCCTGATTTTGGGATGCCGGGAGGAATCGGCGGCGTTTTCATTGATTTGGGGGTTGGATGGAGTTATTTTTTTTTTTTAATCTTATATAATTTATCAAACAAATTGAAGCCAACGTCCAAATGAGGAATGGAAATGGGAAGTGCTCCACGGCAATGAAATCATTCCGGCTGCCTCGCAAAGTGCGGGAGGCTCCGTGTCCGTAATGAAATTTCATCCATCTCCCTGCAGAAAGTTTGGATTTTTTATGAAGTGGCATTTCCAAAGGAGCCACATGGCCTCAGAGACATATATGTACGTATATATATTTTTTCTTTTTTTTTTAACCAGGTCTATTATAGACACTGTGAACAAACAGAAGAGAAGCAAAAAGGAAACGAGGACAATTTAATTTGCCAGAAAATACAATGACATAAAAGAAACAAATTAGATAAAAGGAATGAGGCGATTCCCCCCCCCTCCAGCTCAGCGTTTCAAAGCAGCCCAATTAATTTTAACGGGAATTGGGAGAATGGATTTCTTCAGGCAGGTTTGGGGATGGCAGATCCGGCTCCGGAGCAGGCGGGACGCAGGAGGGTCCCGGCCGTGCTCCCGCTCTGCCGCAGCGGGGACGGATCACGCGGCTGCTCCGGGATAATTCAATTCAGGGAGCGCCAGGAAAAGGGAGGGAAAAAAAAGGGAATGTGCCGGGAGGGGGGGCTGCCGCGGGCGAGGGGAGGTGGGAGGGAGCAGGACCTGTGCAGGGTCCTTGGACACGGGGATCGAAGGAGCAAAAGTGGCAGCAAACCAGGAGGAGTGGCAGGGTGTGATTCCACAACGCTGGGAAGCGTTTGGGATAGGAAGGGAAGAAGTTGGTAGTGGTTGTTTCTCTCTCTGGTGCTGCAAGGAGAGTGTGAAGGGCTCAGCTCTGTCCCTGTCTTGGTCCCACCTCCTCATCCCTGTCCCCATCTCCATCTCCAGTCCCACTCCCATCCTTATTTCCATTCTCTTCTCTGTCCCTTTCCCATCTCCCCATCCCATCCCATCCCATCCCATCCTCACCCCGTCCCTATCTCCATCACTATTCCTACCCCCATCCCTGTCCCATCCTCATCCCTGCCCTCATCTCCATCTCCACACCCATCTCATCCCTATCCCTGTCCCATCCTCATCCCTGATTGCTCTCCTCCCCATTCCCATGCTTATTTACATCCCTGTCCCCTCTCCCCTCCCCTGATCCCCATCTCTGACCCCCCCTCTATCCCCATTCCCATTCTCATCCCTACTCCCATTCCCATCCTTATTTCCATTCTGTCCCCATCCCCACCCCCATTTCCATCCCTGCCCCTGTCCTGCCCTCACCCCTGTCCCCATTCCCACTCCTATTCCCGTTCCTGTGCTCCCCTCTCCTGGGAAGAGCTGCCAGAGGACACGGGCAGAGCCCAGCGGGGCTGTGCTTGGCCGGGGCCCAGCAGGGCCTCATTTCCCTAAAAGCTTCCCGATAAATTAGTCCGGCTCTTGCTCCAGCAAAGGCACTTTGGCTCGTGCTCCACGATCGGGCAGCAGCTCCTCACCCCCACCCCGGGGACGTGAGTCCATCCCTGCAGCATCCCTTGGGATCCAGCATCAGCCATCCCCGTCCTGCTCCTGTCCTCCTCCCATGGCCTTTTTCCATGGATGAGCCCACAGGGGCCGTGTCCCATCCCGGTGCTGATCCATGGCATCGTTACACCTCCTGACACCGCTGTAACACCCCCATAAACCTGCAATTTATGGCCCCCTCTGAGCCCCTGGGAGTTACACGGCTCTATGAATCCATGACATCCTGCAGGGAATGCCTGGCTCCATGGATCCACGACATCCTGCAGGGAATGCAGCCCACGGGCCACAGATCACACAAGCTTTTGTGGGAAAACCCCCATTTTAATTAACCCCCCTGACCAGCCCCTCTCAGTCCCCAGGACAGGCTGGAGCTCAGCAGGGAACACTCCCGCTCTTGCCTTTCTGGTTTTATTGGGAATTTCTGCTCCAGGAGCAGCTCAGGCAGAGTTTGGAGAGGTTGTGGCTGTTGTTTTACATCGGAATTTTCATTTACAGCCAGGCTCCACAGCTCACCCAGGGAGCTGCCGGGAGCTCTGGCCTCTCTCTACCAAATTTAAGCTGGATCTGGGGAGCAGTTTTGGAGCCGTGAAGTTTGGGAGCGTTGGGTAAAGCAACATCTCCTGGATCAGCCGGAAAACCCACCAGAACTGGAGCACATGGAGCAGGGATGGGCCTGGGGGGCTGATGGAAGCACAGCTCCAAACCCAGGTGAGGAGCAGGGGAGGATTTTGATGGTTGACTGGGAAACAAAAAAGTCTGTGGGAGAGACGGGAGTGGGAGTTCCTTGATCCATCAGTGCCGGTGGCCTCACTGGGTGTCCGTGTCCCAGCTCCTGCTGCCACCAGCAGAGAAGCCACTGTCCCCCTCCAGTCAGCAGGGTTTGAGGGGGACAGGTTGAGCCCCCCAGCATTCCCCAGCTCCTTGGGGTTCTCCCCCAAGCCAGGCTGGGGGTGCAGGGATGCTCCAAGCTTGGAGAGAGCAGGCACAGCTCATGCTCCCACTCTGGAACATGCCGGCATCCCGCGGCTCCCGGGGTTCCTCTGCAGCCTCTACACTGGAGGTGCTCCAAGGGACCCTGATTCACCCCCAAATTCACTCCCAAATGGATGTTTGTTACCTCCTGCCCAGGGAAGTGAGGATGGGACACAGGGCTGATCCCGCATCCTCGGAGCCCAGGCCCTGTGCTCCTGCTCTCCAGCAAGCCCAGGGCTCCTGCTGGAAGGATAAAAACACCTCTAGTTTGGCTCAGAGCTCCTCCAGGCTCCGGCCAAGGCTGTTTCCAGGCTTCTGTCACATCCAGTCCCTGCTCCTGTCAGAGCTGGGTCCCAGGGGCTGACGCTCCCATGACAATTTGCCATCACATCCCGATGTGGGAGCTCTGCCCTGCCCCGGTGTCAGTGTGATCCAGGCGGGATTTGGCCACAGGCCGTTGGCTGCTGCCCCTGCTCTTCATGAATCTGGACCCACCAGCTCCGTACTCGGCCAAACCTGGAATGCACTGGCAGCGGGCACAGCCCTCCTGGACAGCCCCGCTGCCGGAGAGCTGCATCCCGGGATGCTGCTGGACAGGATCCCCCCTCACCCAGGGAAGCTGGAGCACCCACTTCCCTTGCTGAGAAAGCCAAGGGCCTCCCTCATCCATCCCTTTCCTGGTGAGGAGAGATAAGTCGGTGAAACTCGCCCTGTGGAGAAACCTTGGGATATTTTCCCTCCTTGCCCCTCGCCCCCAGCACAGCAGGAGCAGGAGCAGGAGCAAGGCTGAGGGGGCTCCCCAGCCTCCTCACCAGGAGCTCCTGGACACGGGCAGGTTCACACCCAGAATTTATCAGGAACCAGCATAAGTCATAAACACCCGAGGAAATTAAACATCAACTCCAAAAGCCTGGTTGCAGCTCCTTTCTCCAGCCTGGATCACGGAGCCCAGCGTGAAGCTGGACTGAGAGCAGGCAGTCAGACAGCAGCGCTCCGAGGGGATGGATCCTGCCCTGGGAAACAGGGAATGTCTGCTCCAGGTGACAGCAGACAGCCCCTGAGCAGGGCCGGAGCTCTGCTGAGCATGGATTCACATTCCAGAGGCAGGGAGACAACCTCGGAGCAGCTGAGCCCAGGGGAGGCTGCGGGAGAGCAGGAACACGACAGGCACAGGCTGCGAGGGAGGGGGAAGGGTTTTATTGGTATAAAAGTGCAGATAAATAACTCCGTCCCTTTCCCAGGGCAGAGGCAGGACTCCAGCCCCAGCCACGCTCCGGGGGAGCCCCTCCTCAGCCCCACTGCAGGGTGGGGGGCACTGGCCACCCCCCGGGTGGGGGGGCCTGCAGGGACGGGGGCAGCTCCTGCACTGGGGGCCAGCCCGGAGGGTACTGGAACGGCGCCGGTTTCTCGGGAAGAGCACTGTGAGGGGGAGATGGAAAGGGATGGGGTGAGATGGGGGGTCTCAGTTGGGCAGCAAGGCCACGCTTGGGCTGGGCTTCCCTGTGCCCCCTCCAGTAGAGGAGGGGTTTGGTTATCACCAAGTGGAGATATCCCCCCCCATCCATCCCAAATCCAGCCCCAGCCCATCTGTGTAACCATTCCCAGCCCACCCGAGCAGCCAGTGCTCCCTAAAGCAGTGCCTGCCAGCGGAAACTCAGGTGGGAGCACCGAGGGGGGGTGAGCAGGCACAGCCGGGTGCCGGGAGCAGGGCTGGCCCCGTCCCCTCCGCTCCCCACTCCTCCCACAGCTGAGCTGGGAGAGGAACAAACAGAACCAGCAGATGTTTCTTCCCAAGCAGCCCAAATCCCAGCCCAGCTGTGCACTTCCTAAAGGACGAGGACCCCTCGGAAATGGAGGAGCTGCCAAACCAATGGGGTGTTTTCACCCAAGGACCCTTCAGCAGAGGGAACAGGCCTCCTCCTCCTCCGCCCCTCAGCCTGGGAATCACTTTGTCCCTGCCTCTCTCCCTCAGGTTTACTGCTTGAGGCCCCTGCAAACACCACACTGGGCTGAAGTGCAAGAGCAAGAAGCATCACTTCGTCTCCAGCTTGACCCGGGCAGGTTTAAATTCATGGTAAACGTACCCTTTCCATTAATTCCTGAGTGCAGGAAGCTCATTTGTTCTCTCCCACAAGCCCTGACAGCAGCCTTGCAGCTTCTCAGGCCTCCACCTCAGATCCTGATGAATCTTTTTAATTGTTATGCCAGGAGAAACCTAATCAAACTGTTTTACATAACTCCAGGGAGCAGCAGCACCCTCCCCTCCCTGCGGGGCCGCTGCCGTGGCCCAGAGCCAGCTCCAGGAGCAGAGTGTTTTCCAGCCAGCTAACACAGGGCAAAGGCACTCGGCTTAAGGTTTATCCCCGGGATGGGGATTCTCCAGAGAATCCCCCAGATGAGACAGGACTGTGAGGACACACAGCAGCCCCTTGGGGAAGGGGTGTTTGGTGGCACTGTGGCTCAGGACTGGGGAATGCTGCAGGGTGGAACAGCACAGCCATCACCTAACGAGCTGCTCCGTGAGCAGCAGCACTAATCAATAGGGAAGATGCTGCCTGGGTTCTCAATTCCCTGGGGCCTCATAAGCTACAAGTGCTATCAAAGGTTTGCCTACAGCTGGAGCTGTTGTCCCATGTGGATCCTCCAGTGTCCAGCAAGGTCAAGAGTATTTTCATTAGAAGGTGTTAAGGGGATCCCTCCACTTTGCCCTCTCCCAGGCTCATGAAACCTGTGGTATCTTGGAGGCTTTGAGGCCTCAGACCCTCTTCTGATGGAAATCAGCAACTTTTGTTTCTGATGGAAATCAGCACTCTCTGTTTCCCTTGGAAATCAGGGTAAAAATCAATCCCACCTTGGCAGAGCCCCACTGCCAAGAGAATCATGGAATCACAGGCTGGTTGGGTGGGAAGGGACCCTAAAGCTCTTAAAGCTCATCTCCTTCCACCCCTGCCACGGGCAGGAACACCTTCCACTAGCCCAGGGTGCTCCAAGCCCCAGGAACTCCCTGCAGCTCCATCCCAGCTCTCCAGAAAACAAAGGCACAGCCTGACTTGGGAAACAGGCACCAGGTGGAGGATTCCAAACGGAGGGCTGGGACAGGGAAGGGTGGAAGGCAGTGGGGCAGCTCCCCATCCATGGACATGGACTGCTAGTCCAGTGTGGTGCAAAGGATCCTCGCATTTCAGGAACCTCAAGGGCTGCAGGGGGGAGAGGGAGCTCCTTGTCCTTAAAAGTGCTTTCAGGAGGGACACAACGGACTCCCCAGGAACCAGGAGCACAGGGACCTGCTGGAAACAGGCCCTGGCAATGCAGAACAGCTTCTGTGGCAGATAAAGCAAAGCCCACGGGGGCTCAGAAGGAGAATGCGGGGCTGCAGAGCATGAGGGGAGAAGAGAGGTGACAGGGACAGGCACTGGAAAGGCTGGGTAGAGGAAGGGAAGTTTAAATAGTTGGTGTTTAGCTCCTGTAGCAGATGGTTTCTGAGCCTGCAGGGATGGGGAGGCTGGGGAAAAACCCTGGAAATTTTGTGCATCTATGGAGGCTGCAGGGACCAAGTTCTGAAGGTCTGGACATTCCTCTGAGTATGATCCTCTGAGGAAATCCCTCTGGGAATAGGGATGGCTATCTTCTGTAAGAGCTCACCCACCCCAAGATCCAGGGATTCACGGGCAGGACAAGCAGAATGGGGCAAATGAAATGTAGGGGTTGGAATGTGGGCACCACTGCAGGGCCAAGGGCAGCTGAGCTGAGGGACAGAACAATCACAGAGCAACAAGCCCAGACAAGCAGCAGAAGGAAGATCCTGCCCAGGCCAAACAGGGAGAGGACAGGAGCAAACAGAGAAAAAACAAAAGAGAGATTTGGCACGTGCCCAAATGTCATCCCATTAAGCCTGCGGCACAGTCAGGTGAGCCGGGAAACAGCCAGCACGGAATCCGAGTGGATACTGTGAGGAGGAGCCAGTTCCATCCTCCCCCTGGCAGGGAGAGCAGGAAGGGGTGGGGGAGCTGTCAACAGATGAGACCAGGCCCCTGCCACCAAACTCTGCATTAATAACTTGGCAGCACGCTGGCATTGTCCTTGCAGGAGTGTCTGTGCACCCTGCAGACAGCACGGAGCACCCTCAGGTGTGGCTTGTTCCCAAGGCCTGCACCGGCCCCTGGCACACAGGGACACGTGTGGACACGTCTCTGACACGGGCAGGCAGGGCTGGATCCACACACGTGCCCCTCATGTGTGCTGGAGGGGTGTTAAATGATCACTCCCATGGAGTTGGGATCTCTGATAACTCGCACCCTCCCTCATCCCACCCATTGTGGGATCCCCCCCTGTATCCTGAGGCACAGCAGCAGCAGCCAGAGCACACCTGGGTGATCCCAGACTCCTGTACCTGTTGCTCTGAGCCGCACTCAGTCTCTGGGCTCTCTTCTCCAGCCAGTCCTCGATGGTGCCAGGTGGGATATCTGCTCCCTCCTGCCGCAGCTCCTTCAGCCTCTTCTCCCCTGGGTGAGAGACGGAGACATCAGGGAGAGCTGGATCAGAGGGAGGGCCTGGAGGCCACCAGACCCTGGTGCTGCAGTCCTTTCACTCCATTAAACCTGCTGCTCATTACCCTGCACGGTTTCCTGTGGTGGAGAGAGTGTGGAACAGTGGCAGCCCCTCCTCCTCCTCTGCCCTCCTGCCATCTGATGCTTGGAGTCATCCCTGGTGACAGCTCCAGCCAGGCAGAGCCGGGGACAAGGACTAAGCCAGCACGGTGGCACTGAGTGACATCCCCCCTCCCCGGGGCAGATCATCCTCATCCTCGCCTCAAACAGCCTGGGCTGGCCCCGAGCCTGGAGCTGCTCCCAGAGACGTGTCCCTCCACCTGGCAGGAGGGACTGTGCCACCTCTGCCCCATAAGGTGGGAGTGACAGGGACATGTGTCCGGGTCGCTGCAGCCCTGGCAGGCCAGGAGAGTCTGGGAGGTTCTGGGAGCAGTTACAGCCGGCACAGGGATGTCAGAGCTGCTGTCAGGGCTGGTCACGGTGCCCGCTGTGACATGTGCCCAGCCCTGCAGAGCCTGGGCAGGAGCTGCCACCAGCACGGGGGCAGAGCCAGGGCACAGGGAGCCAAGGGACCAGCTCCTGCACTTGGAGCACAGAATGCTTTGGGTGGGAAGGGACCTTAAAGCCCATCTAATTCCACCCCCTGCCATGGGCAGGGACACCTTCCACCAGCCCAGGTGGCTCCAAGCCCCGTCCAACCTGGCCTTGGACACTTCCAGGGATCCAGGGGCAGCCACAGCTTCCCTGAGCAACCTGGGCCAGGGTCTCCCCACCCTCACAGGGAAGGATTCCCTCCTGATATCTAACCTAAATTTCCCTCCTGATATCTAACCTAAATTTCCCCCCTTTCAGTTTGAACCCATTACCCCTTGTCTTATATTTCTCATGCAAGTTAGGAATGAGGAAGGAAAACAGTAGGAAACCTCTGCTGTCCACTGAGGGTCCTTCCAACATTTCAACCCCTCCAGCACCCTGCGGGGGTTGTGTGGGGCAGATACCTGCAGACAAACCTGTCCTGCAGTCACTCTGTATTCCCTGGGCAGGAAGGCACAGACCCAGCAGGGCAGCCCAGCGCTCACCAGTCCCTCCCACTGGGCACAACTGCATGGGTGCCCAGTCAGCAGAACTGCCCAGTGTCCCCAGCAGCAGGGAGGGAGCTGGCAGAGAACAGGGTCTAGCAGGAGTCCTTGACACTGTGACTGCCACAGCCACGCTGCTGCCAGCACCACAGGCGGGGCGGGACGAGGAGCCGCTCCCAGCGATCACATCTCCAGCCTGGTGGAAACTTCCCACCTAACACCACAGGGAACGTGACCCTCAGAAAACCAAACTCTGCTGACAACAAAAGGGAAGCAGAGGCAGCTGTGTGTCACTGCCCTCTGCCCTGCTCACCCAGCCCAGCGGGGGATCCCTGATCCCATTTAGGGATCAGCCAGCCCAGCACGGCCAGCTGCAGCCGTGCCCCCCAGGAGCCCCCTCCACACCCACCCACCATATGTCACACGTTTAAGGAAAATATTACACCTTTCCAGACAGGGTGTGAAATTAATACTGCTTGGGCAGAGTGAAGGATCACTTCATCCTCGTGCTGGCAACCAATTATTCATCTGCCTGTTGAATATTAATAAGGATGGCAGGAATGTGCTACACAATGAGCAGCCGGAGATGGATAATTTGTCATCCAGCCTTTTCATCTGGTGCTGCTGGGAGGGCGACGATGTGCTCGGTGCCACCACAGACAGCTCACTGTGGGCCTGATGTCCAGGTGCTGCTCTGCAACCCGCTGATAAGGCTGGAGATGGGGCTGTTCCAGGCTCCCACAGCTGCTCCCAAGGAGCAAAGCCCCAGCAGAACTACCTGGGGTGAGCCCAGCCACCCGGCCAGGTGGGGAATGGGGAGCCAGGAAGCTCAGTCTGGAGAGCTGGGCACTGCTCAGACTCAGGGCACCCAGGTTCAGCTCCCAGGTTAGACTTCCCTGGCAACCTTGACCACCTTACTTCCCTTTGTTCCAGCTGTCTCCATCTCCTGAGCACCTGGGCACATCCCACCTTGGCAAGGGGACCAGCAGCAGCTGTGACGAGGCAGGAAAGAAAACCGTGGAGAGAAACATCTCCCACTTCTTCCTACCACTAAGATCTCCTCTTCATCCAGCTCCAGAGCCCCAACACAGAACACACCATAAGCAGATGAAGCCTCTCTGTTCAGAGCAGGGAGCCTGAGCACCACACCAGAACTGGTGGGAGTCCAGGGACTTGAGCAGCCACAACTTACAGCCCCATCCAGAAGAGTTCACTGCTTGCAGTGGGACCACTCCAGGCTCACACTGGGCTAAATGAGGCCCCAGGTGTCCCCTTCAGAAAAATATCCAGCTGGCTCCCTGTTCTCCCTGAGTTACTGCTCCGGAGCATTCCAACCCTCAGGGCAGCAGGGACAGGCAACTCTCCTCCTGCCTTGATGCATGTCCATCAAAAAGGTCATTCTTTCATCTCATCTTCCTCTGGAGCACACACATCCCATCCAGGGACCACCAAACCCACCTTGAGATTGGAAACACCCCCTGAATGCCAACAGGTATTCCAAGAAGTAGCTCTGAAAGGCCTTTACCAGCCCTTCCTCCCCACACGTGGCCAGGCTGCAGCGGGTGTGAAGGTGCTTCCCCTCCTCCTCACCCTGGTGTTTGTTTCTAAGCCTAATTACAGCCAATTAACAGAGTGTCTGTAGTGGTGAAGCACCTCTAATGATGCCAGAGTGGGAGCCCACATTTACCTTCCCTTCCCATGCAACTTCTCCCAGGGGTTCTCTTCATCTCTGTCCAAGAGATGGAACCCCCAGGACGGGCGGGTCACCCAGCAAAGGGATGCTCATGAAATCCTTCAGCTGCCTCCCTGGGGGGGTGATGTGGGACCCCAAACTCCTCCAGAGCACATGAACAGCACCAGACTGTGGCTGAGAGATGAGGCTGATGAATCCCTGTGCCAGGAGCAGCAGAACAAGTTACCACTCCGAGCCAACTGTGAGCTCTCCTCCCGCTCACTGCCCAGTTAAACCAGTCGGCTCCAGCCACGCCAGCAGGGTCCCTCATGTCCTTCCAATCTCATGGATACACCAGAAACACTCCCCCAGCTGTGCCCTCTCCCCTCGCAGCCCTGCCTGGCTGGAGCTCATCAGAGCCCGGGCTGGGTTGATCCCACCTGCACCACGGACGCGGATTAGAGGCAGCCAATAACTCTGAGCAAGAGGATGGCAATTTGACAGTGACTTCTTCTGACATGACTGTACTTAAAATGACAGCCTGGAAGTGTCTGGCTGATGAATGATGCAGCAGGCTAATGCTTTGATGCAGGAACAGCTGGGAATATCTCTCCCTCCCTGCCGAAGGTGTAAACTGTTGCTTCTTGATGAGGCTATTCTACAGGATGCAGAGATGCTGAAGCCAAAGTAGGCCATGCTCCAAGCTGTTCTAGAACAGGGAATCGTCCAGAAATTTTCCTACCTAACCCACAAGACTTACACAAACAACAGGGTGAACTCCCTGCATTAAAAAGGCCAAATGTTAAGGACAATGTAATGTTTCCTTTGGCTGTGATAAAAGTGCCTTGTTAGCGAGCTACCAACACCAAACACTCCACGAGGACTCAGGGGCAGGTTCAATATTGACATGACAAAAAAAGTGTCATCACGGTTTAGCAGTGTTAGAATAAGCCAGACAAGGCTTTGCCTGCACCAGAGCTGAGGAAAGGGGGGTTAAGCAGCATTGTGGACCCACCAGGAGACCATCCCCTTTATCCCACCAGCCTGGTCACCTCCGGCACGGTCACACCAGGCTCTGCACAAGGTGGGGAGGCTCCGGAGCTTCCAGCCTCTCTGCTCATCTCAAATCCCCAACCACCCCCGGCTCCAAGCCTGTCAAAATCTCCCATCCGGGGAATCTCTGTGGACACTGACAGCCTGATCCAGAGCACTGCTCCAGCCCACGCCGTGGCATCCTGCTGGCTGCAGCCTGGGATGGTTCGTGGCACAGAAACCCCAGGAGTAGGTGGGAATGCAAATGGGACCTTCCTGATGGAGGATCAGGTCTCCTGTGTGTGTAACACAACCTGCCACACGCGAGCTTGCCTTCAACCCAGCACCTGAGACACGGATGCCTCGGCTGAGATGTCCCCATGTCACACAAACAGCAGCTGATCCCTCCACCTGCTGTCTCTGTTAAGGGCTGTACCTCTCCCACACCGAGTCCTGCTGAGCCTGTCCCTCCACCAAACCCCTCCAAGCTCTCTGATCCCAGAGAGGGTCTGTGTGATGCTCTTCTCACACAGGATTCTCATAGAGCCACACACACGAGAGGTGAGGAATGAACTGCCCAACCGGGCACCCCCCACCCCCCGGCCAGCGCTGCTTCAGCGCTAATTGGTAAATTAAATGTTTCACTCCTAACACAAATACAAGGTTTCCAAGGAATCCCCCCGGACGCGGCTCTCGGCAGCCAATCCAGCACTCCGAGCGACCCGTTTGACTGCAGTCAATATTCAATAAGCAGGGTAATTGGCGGGGGAAGCTGCCCGAGCGCACAGGAGCTGCCAGCGCTCCCCGGCAGCTCCGCTCCGCTCCAAGGAGCTCCCGCTTCCCCCGCAGGAACAGCCGGCACCGACTGGAAACGCCGCAGGTTCCTGACACCCTGTGCCGCCCCTGGGGCCCGGCAGGGAGAGGGTTTGGGCTGGACTGGAGGCACTGCCCTCTGGGGAGGGCTGGAGCACTCCGTCCCCGCGGAGGTTTATTCAACTCCAGCGTGGATCAGAGATCGATCCAGAGTCACCCCGGGGAGTCACGCACTGACTCAGCACGGAGAGCGCTGGAACAGCTCCGCGGTGCCTTCCCCGAGCTCTGCCTCCCCAGATCGGATCCCGCAGGGGGCCGGGAGAGGCTCTAACCCACATACCCCCAACATCTCGCATCTCACACACACACTTCCAACTTCAGCCTGGTTTTTCCAGACCACTGGCAAGCCAACAGCTGGCTCCAGGGAGCAGGGTGGGCACGAGGGCTGCTCCAAGCTGGGCTCCATTGGGAGCAGGTCAAGGAGGACTGTGAGGCCATGTCTGAGTGCTGTGCCCAGTGCTGGGCTCCCTGTGCTGGACATATTGGAGGGAATCCATCAAAGGCAAGAGAAAATGGGCGCAACCCAAAATACAGGAATTCCTGTAAGGAATTTCCGTTTAAGTATTTTAAAAAATACACATTTTTTATTGTGAATGCAGTCAAACACTGGCTCAGGTTGCCCACAGAGGCTGCAGAGTTTCCAGCCTTGGAGATATTCAAAACACAACTGGAAGTGCTCCTGAGCACCCTGCTTGAGTTCACCCTTCTTGGAGCAAGGGCAGGCTGGGACCAGATGATCTCCAGTGGAGATCTCAACCATCCCACAAGTTCTCACCAACACCTCACTCAAATTCCCTGGAAGTGCCCAAGGCCAGGTTGGACGGGGCTTGGAGCAACCTGGGCTAGTGGAAGTTGTCCCTGCCCATGGCAAGGGGTAGAACTGCATGGGCTTTAAGGTCCCTTCCCACCCAAACCATCCCATGATTCTGTGATTTTCTCCAACCACTATGGAGCAAACAGAGCTGTCACCCCTTTTAGGGAAAAGAGGTGGTAGTGCCAGAATGAGAAAGCTCAGAAGTTCTCTGGAGACTCCCAGCAGGGAGCAGGTGCCACCCACCCTCTGCCCACACCTCAGTTCCACCAAAGCCACACGAGCAGAGGCCATTCCTGGATCCAAGCCCCCCTGTCCTCTCCTCAGCACAGCCCCACAGCAGGTCAGCTCTTCCCACAGGTGGAAGCAGCAGCTCCCTGGTAGTGGCAGAGAGGTGGGGGGAAATCCAATCCATAAATTTAAGGGGAAGTGATGTACCAGTGCCCTCTGCTGCTGACAGTTTTTATTCCCTGACTGAGTAAAACCCCGAGGGCTCACAAAGCCCACTCCAGACTCTTGCTGCCAAGTGGTAACAGCACAGGTTTGTGTCCGTGCCAGCAGCTCCAGAGCAGGGAGCACATGACAAACAGCAGCATTCCCGGGCTCCAGGCTCACACAGCACTGGGAGGCACGAGGGATCCGTGCTCTGCTGGCTCCCTGCAGGATCACAGCCTGTACAATCCCCCCTGCAGCAACTGCCCCTCCAAGGAGACCCCTGGACGTTTCCTCTTTGGAGGACTCACCTTGAACTTGAGCACTCAGCTTCTCCAGGTCCTGCTCTGTCATGTGGGAAAATCTGCAGTTGGACCCAAAATCACACTGTCCTGGAACAAAAGGGGAGATTTGGAAATTCAATTTCTATTTCAAAATCCACTAGGTCAGATATCAGGAAAAAAATTTTCATGGAAGGGGTTGTAAAGCATTGGAATGGAAGAGTCACCACCCCTGGAAGTGTTTAAAAAACACACTTGTGGATGTGGCACTTGAAGAGGTGGTTTAAGGGTGAACATGGTGGTGCTGGGTTGATGGGTGCACTTGGTGATGTTAAAGGTCTTTTCCAAACTTGGAAAAGCCACAGAGCATCGTGAGAGCCGCCCACAGGAGATCCTGCCTTGTGCAGGCAAACCCAAGCTCCACTTCCATCACCCCTCCGAGCCGGATGCTGGACACACAGGCCCAAGCCCCTCACTCCAGCCTTGGGCTGGCTCTCCAAGGAGCTGCTGGAGCTCAGGGACTTATTTGCACCTCAGAACTCCTCACCTGTCTGCAGGAACTTCCGACAGGGTTTCTTGGTTTGCTCCTCCTGCAGGATAGCGGCGGCATCTGGGGAGACAAGGGGTGAGAGCAGGTAAAGACCCTGTGCCCGGCAACACCCCGCCCCCCAAACAGCTCAGGAACCAGAAGGAAGCACAGGAACACACAGGCAATGATCTCACAGCCAGCTGAACCCAAACTCAGTCTTTGCTAACCCAGAATGCACTGCCCTGCTCTCTTCTCAGACCCTGGATGCACATTCCCACCGCATTCCTCAGGTGGCACTAACAAGTGAGACAAGTCAGAGCCTGTCTCCATTTTGCCTCTGCAACTGCTTGATGCAACAGCATCAGGGCACGCAGAGTCATCAGTGTGTATAAACCACCAGTGCTGATTTATTTTCTATTCCCACTGCCCCACCTCATCCATCCCCTCCCCAGCCCCAGGAAGGGAGTGGCAGACAGCTGGGAGCACCCACCTCGGAATAAGTCGTACCAGACTCTCTTAGCCCGGAGATGCTGCACTCCATTGAGGTGTTTCTTCCTGTTGTGCAGGTTGTCCTGGAAGGACCTGTCACAGTAGTCACAGAAGTACCTTTTCCCCATCTCTGTCCTGGCAGAGCAGCCTCAGCACGGCCTGGGAAGCATCAGGCAGTTCCTCGGCACCCAGCCACGGGAACGGAGGATCCAGGATTTACAGCGCCTGCTTCCAAAGGAGGAGAACTCAAATCACTCGGGCTTGGCAGACAGAGAGAGAGGTGAGACCCAACAGTTTATATCCTTGTCCATCACAGGCTGCTGGGGCAGGATCTGCTGCCTGCACATGGGAGACAAGGCTTGGATCTGCATTTATCTCTGTCACAAAGCAGCAACAGCTCTGCTGGAAGAATTCTCCTTCCCCGTGTCCAGATCACACAAAGCAGAGATCCAGAGAGCCAAAGGCTCCAGGGAAGCTGCACCAGAAACCATCCAGGGTGCAAACAGGAGGAGCTGGAGGTCCTGGGGACCTTGAACCACAACCTCCATGAGCTGCCATATAGGAGGAAGGAAATTCCCCCGTGTCCACCTCGGCAAGGAAAGGAAGGAACTCAGCAAAGATACTTGTTTTATCCTCAAAGATACAACAAAAGCTGATCTCACCCGTCCTGCAGGTGGGAAGCTGCACTGCAAACACTACAGGACATAACATTGCCCACCCAGACACCCCTTTTGTCCTGCACATCATGGCCTGCTCCCCTCACCCTCCCCAGCCTGTGGCACCAAGGTGTGTCTGCCCCGAGCACAGCACGAAGGTCACACCACCCCTACAGCCAGGAAAAAAGAACCCCAACTCCACAGCCACTGAAAACAACTTGGAGATTCCCGGTCCTTCTCCCCCAGGGAAGAGGGAAGCATATCACACATGTAGGTGTAGCCTGGAGACTCTGACGAGGAGAACTGAGGAGAGACAGGACAGAATTTGGGAGCTCCCATCCATGCTCCAGGTGAGGTCAGCCTGTGTTTTACCTTTGAGGCACCCATCCCATGGGATATCCCTGCTGGAGGTGCCACAGACACCCTGAAAGAGCTGCAAGTTCTTTCCTGTGGGATATGAAGGTACCTGGTGAAAGCCAAAGATGGATGGACTGGGAGATAAACTCCAAAAGCAACTCTCCACATTTTGACACCTTGACAGCTGAATGCATTTAAAAAATGGCATGGAGAGCAGCGCAAGAAATAAAGATTTTCTAAATAAAACAGGGCCAGAATCAATCACAGCCTCCCAGATGATTCCTCAGGCTCAACAGGAAGAGCAGAGCTCCAGGCAATCCCTCAGAGCCCAGCATGCCGAGCTTAGGCGGGGCTGCCAAGCCTCCTGCCTGCCATCCATCCATCCATCCCTCCATCCATCCATCCATCCATCCATCCATCCATCCATCCATCCATCCACCACACTCCCTTCCCTTCCCTGCTCCCTGGAACCGCTGCTTCAAAGTCAAATTGCTGGAAATCTCTGAGGCCTCAGACCACAAGTGAAGCTGCCTCCAGCTGCATTTGATGGAATTATTTTCTGATTGTTTTGAATCGGCTTGAAAACCTCCACACTGAAGGTGAAACACTCAGAGACTCCAACGGGACTGGAAACCTCGTTGGTTTAAGGTCTTTCCTTGGTGGGTGAGGGGCTGGACCTGCCCCAGCACCCAGACCCCCCCCCATGCCCTGGGCTGATCCCCCAGCGTGGGCAGCAGGGCAGGGGGGGATTCTGCCCCTCTGCCCCCTCAGCTGAGACCCCCCTGCAGAGCTGCTCCAGCCCTGGGAACAGCACAGGGAGGACGTGGAGCTGCTGGAGAGAGTCCAGAGGAGGCCACGGAGATGCTGCCAGGGCTGGAGCCCCTCTGCTCTGGAGCCAGGCTGGGAGAGCTGGGGGGGTTCACCTGGACAAGAGAAGGATCCAGGGAGACCTGAGAGCCCCTTGCAGGGCCTAAAGGAGCTCCAGGAGAGCTGGAGAGGGACTGGGGACAAGGGATGGAGGGACAGGACACAGGGAATGGCTTCCCACTGCCAGAGGGCAGGGAGAGATGGGATATTGGGAAGAAATTGTTGGCTGTGAGGGTGGGGAGGCCCTGGCACAGGTTGCCCAGAGAAGCTGTGGCTGCCCCTGGATCCCTGGAAGTGTCCAAGGCCAGGTTGGACGGGGCTTGGAGCAACCTGGGCTGGTGGAAGGTGTCCCTGCCCATGGCAGGGGGTGGCACTGGATGAGCTTTAAGGTCCCTTCCTGCCCAAACCATTCCATGATTCTCCAGGTGAAATACCTTGTTGGAGGTGCTCAAACTTGATCCACAAACCTGGCTCCTGCATGGAATTTGTAACAGCTCCATAGGGCTTGAGGTCTGAAATTGTCCTGCTGCAGCCCAAGAAACCAAACCCAGGTGCTGTTTAATGAACAGGGATCCATAAATTCCCTCATCCTTCACTGGATCATCCCAGAGTTTTCCAGCCAGCTTTGCTGCACTGTGGTGGGGCTGCTGGAATCCAAAGGGAACATGTCTGGCCCACTGGCAGGCTCTGCTTTTGAGTACCGAAAAATCCCTCTTTCACATCTCATTCCATAGGCTCCCAAAGTTCCTGGTGACATAAAAAGCTCCCTGTCTTGGCTCTGGCTCCCACACTCCATCTCTGCAGGAGCAGAGATGCTGCAAACAGGGAAAACAAATGAGATTCTGCAGTGGTCCCACACAAGTTTCCAGAGCTCTCCCAGGGAATTGTGCCTGCGGAAGCCCAGCAGCAGCCAGCCTTTGAAATCGAGTTTCAAACTTTCCCTTTCATCACCCCGACAGCAATAATTGCAGAAGCTCCTTCCCCCCTCCTTCCCCCCCAAAAAAACAAGGCAGAAAGCTCCTACAGATTCCAGGCAGATCCCACAGCTGCCTGCTCCCAAATTCTCCAAGCAATTCCCATTGCAGGGGACGCAGGAATGAGCAAAGGAATTAGAGGAGCATGGGATTCTCACCGAGATTGCCCCTCCAGTGATCACACCCAACACTTATTCCCATCTTTTTAAGGATTCCGCTGCATGGAAATCTGGCTGGATTCTGCCAACTCTCTGCAGCACCAGCGCTCGGCGGGTCCGGAGGAATCAAAGCTGCTTCTGAGCAGCACCAGCCCATTTCCATCTCCCCAAACGGCTCCAGCCATAAACAAAGAGCATTATTCAGCTGCGAACAGAGATGGTTCTTAATTAAATCCATCTTGGCCATTATGAAATGTAAATGTAGCTGCCCTGTAAAGCACAGCCCCGGCTGGGCCGTTTCCTCTCAACATCTCCAGACCCTGATTTGCAACTGAATTGAGGAGCTGAGACCCCCCCCCCCCGGACCCTCCACAGCCACAAACGCTTCCAGACAGGCTCTGGGCCAGCTGGAAAGAGTCCCTGAAGAAATGCAAACACAAAAAAAACCCCACAGGGGCTTTGTCTTGTATAAAAGTATAACACAACTCCTCTGCTGTGCCTCCTGGAGCACTGAGGCACCTCCCAGGTGTGGCACAGCCAGTGAGGGGCTGGGGACCACTCCAGCTGAGATCTCCCGTGCACCATCCTACATTCTCCCTTCTCCAGCTGCTGCCAGAACACTCCACGTTGCTCTGTGCCAGCTACAGATTTTATCCAGGACTCTTGGGGGGTGTCTCAGCGGGCAGGGGGAGGAAGGTGACCCTGAAATGGGCACACATGGACTTGTCTGTGCCTGGGTGGAACCCCAAGAGCTGCTGCTGGGCCCTGACCTCAATTTCCTGCCTTCTCACAGCCCAGGCCTGGGGCCATTCCAGCCACTTTGGATATCCAGGCAGATGTGAAGTTAATTAAATCCAAGTGTCAAGCTTATGACACTCAGCTGCCAAATTAAATGGGCTCAGATCTGCAGGGAGCCTTGGGCTGGCAGCAGAGTCTGCTGACACCTTCCAGTGACAGAGGGACAGGTCCTGCTTTCCATTTACCTGGAGCAAATCATGGAATCATGGAATGGTTTGGGCAGAAAGGGACCTTAAAGCCCATCCAGTCCCACCCCTCTGCCATGAGCAGGGACACCTTCCACTAGCCCAGGTTGCTCCAAGCCCCGTCCAACCTGGCCTTGGACACTTCCAGGGATCCAGGGGCAGCCACAGATTCTCTGGGAATTCAATTCCAGCCCTTCCCCACCTCACAGGGAGGAATTCCTTCCCAATATCCCACCTAACCCTGCCCTCTGGCAGTGGGAAGCCACTCCCCCTTGTCCTGTCGTGGAATCATCAGGGAATGGGTTGGGTTGGAAGGCACTTCAAAGCCCATCTCATTCCACCCCCTTCCCATGGGCAGGGACACCTTCCTCTGGAAATCCAGGGCTCGATTTGGGATTAACAGCAGCCTGACCATGCACAAACCTGCCTGGTGGCAGCAATTCATGGGCTGTTGGGGAGATTTGTCTTAGATAATCCTGAGCAGTTAAATTGGAAAAATAACAACTGAGCTTTTCCAACCTCTGCTCTGTGTGAGCAGGGACAGGGCCCCAGGGAATGGCTGGAGCTGTGTCAGGGCAGGCTCAGGTTGGATCTCAGGGAAAGGTTCTTCCCCCAGAAGCTGGTTGAGCACTGACCAGGCTCCCCAGGGCAGTGGGCACAGCCCCAAGGCTGCCAGAGCTGCAGGAGGGTTTGGATGATGCTGAGGGACAGGGTGGGATTGTTGGGGTGTCTGTGCAGGGCCAGGGGTTGGACTGGATGATCCTTGTGGGTCCCTTCCAGCTCAGGATATTCTGTAATTCCAAAGGTATAACACCATACACAGAGCACAGGAATGTGTCAGGCACATTCTGGGCTTCCAGCACAAGCAGAGGCTTTTCCCTCACCCAGAAAAAATCCCACAGATCCCCACAGTCGCTGTATGAGAGAACCAAACATAAATAAATCAGGAGAAGTGACTCTGCAGCCAGACCTTGTGCTATTTCTGAGTGGGTGAGACAAACAAAACGACAGAGCAGAGTCACTTGAGGGTCTGCTCTGGAATTTCATGTAGATGCTCATTTAACAACAACCCTGAGGGGGAAGAGCTTCAATTTTAGGATTCCTGAGTCCCCAGTGTCTGTCCTGCTTTCCTAACCCCAAATTTGCCTTTCTGTCCCATCTGTGCTGGAGCCACCCTGGGACCCCTCTGCCCTTACTGAGGTTAAACAGAGAAAAACACGAGGAGAAGGTTTCAAAAGGGAATGTTCCCACTTCTGTTCTGCCACATGGGGCCACATCTCACTGTTCCAGAGGCCTCTGGAGCCTCAGGGTCCTCTGGCACAGGTTGCCCAGAGAAGCTGTGGCTGCCCCTGGATCCCTGGAAGTGTCCAAGGCCAGGTTGGACGGGGCTTGGAGCAACCTGGGCTGGTGGGAGGTGTCCCTGCCCATGGCAGGGGGTGGAACTGGATCCCTTCCAACACAAATCATCCCATAATTCCATGACTTATGAGGTCCACACCACTCTCCCTCTCACCCCACACTGTCACCGACCACCCTCCACACCCCCAAACTGCCAGAAAACACCCAAACTGCCCCCCCTCTGCCAGGGGTGAGCAGAGGGCAGTGACCACAACCCCTTCGTGTCCCTGTCACCCCTGGAGGGCACCCTGGCAGGGCAGGGCAGGGCAGGGCAGGGCAGGGGTGACTCTGCCCCCTCAGACCCCTGGCCCCAGCCCGGTCTGGGTCCCCCCCACAGCCGTGGCCGGGCTGGTTTCAAGGCACGAAGCCGGACCTAAACCCTCGGTCTGCCCGGCGGGGCCGCTGAGGGGAAGGGGAGCGGGACGGGACGGGGCCGAGCGGGACCCCCCTCACAGCGACCCCTCACGGGGCCCTCACACAGAACCCTCACAAGGACCCGTCACGGAGCCCTTAAAAGTGATCCCTCACAGAGAGCGCTCACACGGACCCGTCACCGCGACCCCTCACATGGAGCCCTTACAGGGACCCCTCACACGGTTCCCTCACAGCGACCGCTTACACGGAGCCCTCACAGAGTCCCCCGCCCCGCTCCCCCAGGCCCCGCTCACGCACCTCCAGCCGGGCCAGCGCCGCGCCGCCTACATCTCCCACAATGCCCCGCGCGCCTCGCACCCCGCGCTCAGCGCTCGCACGGCACCGCCTACAACTCCCACAATGCCCCGCGCGCAGGCAGAGCACTGCGCGCCTCTCTCCCAGCACCGCCTACACCCCCCATCAACCCCCGCGAGGCCGCGCAGGCGCGGTGCGCACGGCCAAGATGGCGCTGCTGCGGCAGGTGTACGGGGCGCTCTTCCGCCGCACCTCCACCTTCGCGCTGTCCATCGTGCTGGGCGCCGTCCTGTTCGAGCGCGCCTTCGACCAGGGCGCCGACGCGCTCTTCGAGCAGCTCAACGAGGGGGTAAGGCGGGGGGAGAGGCCGGGAGAGGCCCCCGGCGCGCGGGCCCGCGGTGAAGGTCAGGCCGGCCCCGCTGCGCCCCGCCCAGAGCAGGCCCCGGGCCGTTCCTAAACTGTCCCGGGCCGTTCCTAAACTGTTCCTAACGTGTCCCTGAGCCGTTCCTAAACTGTCCCTGGGCCGTTCCTCAGGTGTCCCGGGCCGTCCTAAACTGTCCCGGGCCGTCCCTAAGCCGCCCCCGGCCCCGCGGTGCGGCCCCAGCCCGGGGGGCTACACGGCTCTCGTGGCGGTCGCGGCTTCGGGCTGTCCTTGGGCTCCTCTGGCTGCGGAGCCGCTGGAAGGGCCGTGGGAGGCGGTGGGAGCAGGCGCGGGAGAAGGAGCTGCTTCTGTGCTCTGTGTCCCCCCTGGCTCGGCCCAGCGGCCCCTGGCACAGGGAAGGCGTGGGCGCTGCCAGGTCGTGCTGGGACAGGGCACCAGAGTCCCGGGGTGAGCTGGGGTGAGAGGGATCAGGTCGTCCTTGTGTTCCCAAGCACGGCTGTGACGGGATAATGACTGCCGGGCACAAGGGTCACGTGCAGGGGACAGATAGAAGCTTCCTGTTCCTCTGGGGAAGAGAAGGATCCAGGGAGACCTGAGAGCCCCTTCCAGGGCCTAAAGGGGCTCCAGGAGAGCTGGAGAGGGACTGGGGACAAGGGATGGAGGGACAGGATGAGGAGGAATGGCTTCCCACTGCCAGAGGGCAGGGATAGATGGGATACTGGGAAGGAATTGTTGGCTGTGAGGGTGGGGAGGCCCTGGCACAGGTTTCCCAGAGAAGCTGTGGCTGCCCCTGGATCCTTGGGAGTGTCCATGGCCAACTTGGACGGGGCTTGAAGCAACGTGGACTAGTGGGAAGTGTCCCTGCCCATGGCAGGGGGTGGAATGGGTGGGCTTTAAGGTCCTGTCCAAACCATTCCAGGATTCTGTGACTAGGGTTGTTCTGTTCCCATAGCTCCAGGAGCAGAACTGCTCTCTCTGGTCTGGGTGGCAATTCAAGGCAGGGTGACTGGGATACTCCAATCCAGAGCAGGGGGAAGTGGATGTTCTGCAGCTTCCTCCCTGTCCAGACTAAAAGCCAGGAGCCCCCTGCGTCCCTCACATCCAGTCCAGGGCTCCCTCACCACCTCCCCAGGCAGGGTGACTATAAAACATAAACTATAAAATAGCATTTTAGAGTGAAACGTTATCCCAGCACCTCTGAAAAGCCTTTGTTTTGCACCCAGAAACTGTGGAAACACATCAAGCACAAGTATGAGAACTGAGCAGCTCAGCAGCAGGAGCCAGGAAGGAGCAGGGAAGGATTTGGCCTCCTGAAGCTGGGAATGAATTCCTGATGGAACAACTCCGAGCCAGAGTGTATCAGCCCCCCACTGAGCTGATGTGAGGCAGGATGGACTCTGGGGGTGCTGCTGCTGCTGCTCTTGACTCACGGTGTTCAAATAAAACTCTGGTCCTTGTCTTGTGTGTGTGTGTTCACCTCCCCCATCCTTTGGCTTCTCCAGGAGATGGAGAGTGGTTCAGTGCAGCCCCACTCCTTAGTTCCAAGGCACTGGAAGGAATCACAACCTCCTAAAAATGGTTGGAAAGGCTTGGAAGCACTTACAGAGCTGTGGTTTAGTGACAACCCTTGGCCTCTACCTAAGGAGAACCTGGAGAGGGAGGAGCAGCTCTTGTCTTTCTTCTGGCCTGTTCACAGAAAAGGGGCTTAAAATCATTTACATCATCTTTGGTAGGTCCTGTACAGGGTTGGGGGAGGTTCCTGGCCCCTCTCCCTGCCCTAACAGTGGTAAATCTGCCCAGCACTGGCCCCTTGAGCTCTGAGCAGGCTGAGTGTGCCCAGCACTGCTGGGCTGAAAATGGGGGGGGGTTGTGTCCAAAACCTCCTCAAAGGGGATGTGGATCCCTTCCCTAATTATTTCTGTGCCTTCTGGCTCTTCAGATGGCTCGAGGGGCAGAAATCATGTAGGCTTGTGTGGTACCACCAGCCTGCCCCCACCGCTGGGATCCAACGGGAGCTGCTGGACAGGGAGAGGAATTGGTCAGTGCCCCCCAGCAGCTCGATCAGGGGAGTCATGGAATGGTTGGGATGGGAAGGGACCTTAAAGATGATCCAGTTCCATCCCCCTGCCCTGGGCAGAGCCATTCCCTCCTCAGCAGCCTCACTGAGGAGCCCAGCCCTGACTCTGAGTCTTTCAAACACCTCTTTATTGCCAGGAAGGGATATCTGGGTACTGTTGGGGGTAACGATCCAGTTAATCACTCAGCTCTCTTGGCAGATCTGGCTCAGTGATTCCTGCTCTTCCCCAGCCCAGCAGCCACATCTCTCCCTCTTCCCTCCATTTTCCCTAATCGGGAGGAATTTTAGCCACGGCTGGGGGCAGCAGCTTTATTGGCTTTGCAAATGGGCACCGGGGGGGAAACATTTACTCTAAACACACTTAGAAAACATCGTGTTTTTAGAGCAAAACCCAACCCCAGCTGTGCCAGTCCCAGCTGTGCTCTGTGGAGAGGTTCAAGGGGAAGGTTTCAGCGTTCCTGGGACAGCCCCAGCCGTGAGTGCCAGCTGGCTCTGCAGTGCTGCTGCTCCACGCTGAGCAGCTCAGAGAGAGGTGCAGCTTCTGAGCAGCGGGAACCAAAGCTGAATACAGGATGAGGGGGAGACAGCACTGCAGTGGGCAGCGGGGAGGGGCTGAGCCACGAGCCCAGAGAGCAGGAGCTGCAGGAGAGCAGAGTTACCCTAGCAGGGGATTGCCCTGGACACAGGATTTAGGGACAGTGGTGAATGCAATTCCGTTTTTCCTCTGCCTGTCATCAGGAGGTTTGAAAGAAAAATCTCCTCGGAGCACTCAGGATTTCACCTCCTGTCGTGGCAGTGGCAGTTCTGCTGCATTTCTGCTGTTCTGCCAACAGCCCCAATCACAGCCCAGCCCCCTCAGAGTTAAACCAGGCACCAAGGTATGTCTACAGACCTTACTGCCACCTTACTACCACTCTACTACCACCCTGCTCCTCCTGCAGCTCTGGGATTACCCCGGATCATCACCCCCCTGCTCATGTTCTCAGCGTGGGGGGTGACAGCCACAGGCACCTTTGCAGTTCTAGAAAATACAGGGTGGTGGGGAAATGCCAATCAGGGCAGATTAACCAAGTCAATTAATAAAGCAAAGGCTAATTGGTTGCCAGGAAGTTCATCTCCATGACAAGCACAGCACTCCAAAACATCCCAACGCTCCGTGACAACTGGAACAACTTCATCACCAGCTGTGGGCAGCTGAATCCGGGATGCCCAGGTAGAGTTGCAGCTACTGCTGTGGCATCTGAGCACCTCACACACAGGTCACCTGGTAAGTTCTGTGTCTCCGTGCCCAGGGAACAACTCCCTGACAAAATCCAGCCCTCGGGAGGAGCCCCTCAGCAAGTCACTCTCAGCTCCCAGCCTTGCCACAGCAAAGGGTGGTTGGGGCAGTTCTGCCTCACGGGGTGGGACAGGGAGTTACTGAGGAGGCAGCTCCTGGGGACTCCAACCTGCTGCCTTCAGCCTGGATTTCCACACCACTGGCACCTTGCTTAGCATTAGATCCTCATTTTCCAGCATCTTTGGTCTCCGTGGCTGTGGGTAAATCTCATTACACAGAACCAACACGGAGCAGGGAGAGAGTTTCCCTGCCTGCAGATCCAGCACTGAGAGGCCTGTGGAGGTTCCTCAGAGTTACAGATCAATCCTGTCTGTGAGAGCCTAAAACACCACCTGAAACATCTCAATCATTTATTTGCCATGGTCTGTTTTCACAGGCCTCACTCCAGGGACAGAAATCTGTGGCAAGGTCTTATTCCCCTCAACTCCTGTGGGTCTGTCAGCAGTGGGAACAGCCTGAGCAGTTCCCTGCCAGCACAGAGCTGTGGCAGGGCAGGGTCAGGTTGGATCTCAGGCAAAGGTTCTTCCCCCAGAGGCTGGTTGGGCACTGCCCAGGCTCCCCAGGGCAGTGGGCACAGCCCCAAGGCTGCCAGAGCTCCAGGAGGGTTTGGATGATCCTCTGGGGCCCAGGGGGTGACTCTTGGGGATGGGCCTGTGCAGGGCTGAGGGTTGGACTGGATGGTCCTTGTGGGTCCCTTCCTTGGGATATTCTATGATTCCAGTTCAGGATAAGGCATTTCAGTGGAGCAGAGAGCTGGGGGCTGTCCCAGGGAGGCCACGGAGCCCCCGGGAGCGGCAGGGAGGGCGCAGGGACCAGTATGAAAATAAAACTCTGCGAATTATAAATAGTACAAAAGGGAAGGAGGGGCTGGTGCAGCCTGTCCGGTGTATTGGGTGCAGCCACCAGCACACACGTGTGTGTCTGTGAACCGAGGGCACTCAGGGCCTGCTCCTTCCCGGGGACAGGCAGTGCTCCCACAGGGAACGTCGTTCCACGGGAGCTGCAGTGCCAGGGGTTGAACCAGGACATCCAGCCCCCCGAGCACAGGGAATGCCAAGGACACCGAGCCAGACCCCCGAGCAGGAGGCTGGGGATGGTGCCACACCCAGCCAGGAGTCCCTCAGGAGGGGATCATGCCCTTGCTGCGCTTCCTGTCGGCCATGGCCCGCCGGTTGTGGTTGGCCCTGGTGCTCTTGTTCGCCTCCTTCTTCCTCCGCTCCTGCACCGTCTCCCGGTTCTGCCCGTGGCCCTTGGCGTTCCCCACAACGGCAGAGCTGTCGTGCTTGTACCTGCAGGACACAGGAAAGGACATCACAACG